TTTAGGGTTTAGGGTTTAGGGCTCAGGGCTCAGGGTTTGGGGTTTAGGGCTTACGGTTTAGGGAGGAGCTCAAGGTGTGCGGGGGGGGAAAGAGACGGCACTTCAGGTTTATGGCTCTTATGGGGCTTGTTGTAGGGTATATCGACTTTTTTTTATTTTATCCGTAGCGCGTCTGGTATAGGGATGAAGCTTCAGGCCCCTAGTTCCTGAAAGCCCCAAAGCCCCGAAAGCCTGACGGCCTGACATCCTCAAACCCACTCAACTTCTCTTTGCTTAGAACTCCCAAACAAATCCAAAATAAGAAAATCAGAGTCCCTATATTTGCCTTATAAGGAAGAATACTTTTTGGAAGGGGGGATTCTTAAGCAAATAGTAATTAAATAGTAGAAAAGGTGCCAACCGAAAGGTGTGTGTGTGTGTGTGTGTTTTTTTTAAATCTCCTTGGTTGCTCTGGAAGAGAAGATGGAGAGCCCTGGCGCCCTAAATCCTAAAACTTCCACCCTGAAGCACCTTTGCTCCCAACACCCTCAACCCTAAACCCTCAACCCTAAACCCTAAACCCTGCTTTTCTGAATCATCTGCCTGCCAGGCGTGGGGAGTTCAACGACTGGGGCCAGGCACCTTCGGCTGCATGCTGGAGGGGTTCATGGGTTCGGGTTTTTTGGGGTTTAGGGGGTGTAGGGATTAGGGGGTTTAGGGTTTAGGGGGTTTAGGGTTTAGGGGGTTTAGGGCTTAGGGCTTAGGGCTCAGGGCTTAGGGTTTAGGGTTTAGGGTTTAGGGGCCAACAGGGGTAGGTTTGAACATAATTCTTAGTTGTTTTTTCGCCCTTCATTAGTCCCCTTATATAGTCTTGTGAAGCCGTAAGGGTTTTTAGGGTTTAGGGGCCAAGGTGTGAGGTCAGCAGTCGCCCTTTCCTTCAAGGGGGAGCTTCGGGCTTTTCAGGCTCGAGGAGTTCAGCCGAGTTGGCCGTTGAAGGGCTTCGCTCCCGAGGGATTCCAGTCAAGTGTCTTGGTCTTGGGGGCTTGAGACTCTCCACGCCTAAATCCTATATCCTAAACCCTAAACCCTTAAGCGCCCCAGGACTCTTCACGGTTTAGAGTTCAGGGTTCGGGGTTACATGGGCCCTTGGGTTTTGTTGAGTACTGTCTTGCAATCCATAAGGCATGTGTAGAAAGGCGCCTCCCGTTTAAGGGCCCATACGAAGGGGTCCTTGTAGTTAAGCCCTATGCTCTAAAGAGTTCGACTCCCCAAAGCCCCAAATCCCCTGAACCTTGAAACCTGAGTCTACGCCCCAGAACTGTAAAGACGTAGTATTTCAGCATTTCTGAAGGCCACAATCGCTAAGTCATAGACTCCTGAGAGCAAACACTTTGAGAATGTGAAGCCCTAAAATGCAACTCCAACAACACAAGCCCTGGAAATCCCTAAGCCCTCAACCAGTCTGCTGTCCCTAAACCCTAAATCCTAAACCCTAATGCCTAAACCCCAAATCCTAAAACCCTAAATCCCTAGACCTGAACCAGCTGTCAAGGACTCCGACCTCGCCATGGAGGTGGTGGACCACTTCACGTGGGCTGCGAACCTGCCGCCCGGGGCGCAACCTAAGTGGTCCGTTGAGTGCTTTTGCGGGAGTGTAGGGCACTCAGAATTAGGGGAGTGTGACTTCAGCTTAAAGCCAATGGGCTTGTGTTTAGGGGGTAGAGGGGCTTTTGGGGTTTAGGGTTTCAAGCGAGTGTTCAGGAGTCGCAATTTAGGGACTGCAGGCTTTGTGAATTGGCATGGGGGTTCTCAACTTGTTGGATTACGCTGAGGCTCAAGAATGGCCCAACAACCTTATACAAGAAGGCCTTTGGGCCCACAAGCCTTCAAATCAGAGGCCTCAGACCCTTAGAGTTCAGGGTTTCAAGGGTTTCAAGGGTTTCAAGGGTTTCAAGGGTTTCAAGGGTTTCAAGGGTTTCAAGGGAGGGTTTAGTTCCTTCCCTGCCTAGGGGCCATGCAGGGTACCCTAAACCCTGAATCCTAATCCCCAAACCCCAAAACTCTCCTCAAACGGCCCCTTCAGTCGAAGCCCAGGAGCATGGGGCGTTTCATGAGAGTGCGGCGCACAGACGTCCTGGGCAGTCACCACTTTGTGAGCTTAGGGTCTCATAGGGTTCTGGGTTTGGGGTTTAGGGTTTAGGGTTTCGGGTTTAGGGGGGGTTTAGTGCTTCAGGGTTTCCAGGGTTTAAGGTCTAGTTAGGGTTCACAGGCCTTCAAAACCCTGCCTTAGGGTTACACAATTTGGGCTCATTGAAGTCTATGTCTGGAGCTCAGGGTTAAGGGCCCGTAGAGGTGGGAGATTGCGATTTTGCACACAGAAGGTTTGGGAATCAAACCCTCAACCCCGACTTTTCTTTTTGAGATGCAGGTTACGTTAGGGCCGCAGATAGGGCTTCTCTGGCTGGACGAGCAGATTCTGCTTTAGGGTTCAGAGCGCCATTCTGGGCCCATTCGGAGCAAAAGGGTTTCACACTATGTCTATATATCTACACACATATACAGAGTTTTTTTAATCTATCTATTCTTCTCTACGTACGTAGAAACATATAAACATGCATTCATGCGTGCATAAGCTTCGCATGGTCGTTTAGGGCTTCTGCAACAATGTCAGATTCCTGCCCGCGCCCAGGCCAAGTTTGCCCCAGGGCCCGGTTGGGAGAAGTCCTACGGGATCCACCCGACGCGCAAGCCCCTGGGCCTCAACTGCGAAGCTTGGAGTTTATGGGGTTTAGGGTTTCGGGTTTAGGGCTTCGGGCCTTTAGGGTTTAGGGTTTAGGGTTTAATTAGGATTTAGGGTTTAGGGTTGAGGGTTTAGGGTAAGGCCTAGTTGCCTTATAAGCCCTCGGCCCTAGGTCCTTAAGCCCATGAACCGTAGTTGCTAAATCCATGAGAACCCTCAGCCCTAAACACTCCGCTTTATTCTTACTGTTGGTTAGTAGGGAATGAGGGAATGAGGTACCCTACATGCCCTATGTATACCCTTTGAGGGATTATATAGGGTACCTCATTCCCTCATTCTCTGCTAAACAACAGAAAGTATTGGGATATTCAGTGAAACTGACAATCTCCCCCCAAACCCTCAGAGCACCCCCAACCCCTTTCCCCAAACCGTCCTAAGACCTGATTCTTCTTCCCCAATCCTGAACAACACGCCTGAGCCCTCAACGAAATCCTAAAGAAAACGCAAAACTCCCAATTTTTGCGATCTCAACTCTGAGACCTCTTTTCCTCGAGCTCTCTGAACCCCTGCGCCCTCTTGCGAGATGCTTCAAGAACCCCCAACCAAAAAGAGGACAACCCCAAAAAGTCCCCTGCCAAGAGCCCCCAACGAAAAGAAAAGAAAGCGGACAACCCCAAAAAGTCTCCTGCCCTGAGCCTGGATCCTCCTTGTGCTTGTGACCCGAGCCCTAGACTCTAAACCAAAACCCTAAACCTCCCAAGCCCTGAACCCCTAAACTCTGAACCCTTGAACCTAAACTCTTAGTCCGACAAACCCTTAAACAAAAAGCAAACCTAAGAGCTAGACTGCAAGCCCAAAACCCAAAGACCCTGGAACCCTAAACCCTGAAACCCCAAAACCCTAAAAGTCTGAACAAAAAAGAACTTTTCTGGGCCTAAACCCTACGAACCCTAAACCCTATAAACCGAAAACCCCTATAACCCCAAAACCCTTATAACCCTATACACCCTAAAACCCCTATAACCATAAAACCCCTATAACCCTAAGACCCCTATAACCCTAAGACCCCTATAACCCTAAGACCCCTATACCCCTAAGACCCCTAAAACCCTAAGACCCCTATAACCCTAAGACTCCGATAACCCTAAGACCCCTAAAACTCTAAAACCCCTATAACCCTAAAACCCCAATAACCCTAAGACCCCTATAACCCTAAGACCCCTATAACCCTAAGACCCCTATAACCCTAAGACCCCCTATATCCCTAAGACCTTTGTTGGGCCTCGACTGGCTGAGGCTCCTCTACGGGCTGCCGCTGTTCGATCCGCGGAGCCACTCGAGCAGTCTTGGTGTCTTTGGTTTTTTGTTTTTTTGCGCTTGGGGTTTAGGGTTTAGGGTTAAGCGTTTAGGGTTTAGGGTTTCGGTTTAGGGTCTAGGGTTACGGTTGAGGGTTTAGGGTTTCGGGTTTGGGGTTGAGGGTTTAGGGTTTTCGGCTTTGGGGTGTGGGGTGCCAGGCCTTGGAGGGTCGGTTTCAGAGCACTTCCTTTGATCTTTAGAGGTGCAGAACCCCCATGTTCCTCACCTCGCCCAGGCAAGGATTTCGAAGTGACTCCCTACATGTCGGGGGCCGCGGCCAGTCGCAGGCGGCCCAATGGGGGTTTAGGGGTTACGGCTTTCGGGGTTCAGGGTTTAGCACACTAAGACTGCCGTTCCGGATTCGCACAGAGGTGGATGACCTACTGCTACTGTGTGCAGCATGTTACGACGCGCGATATATTCTCTTCGGGTGCGTGGCCACACCTTCTGTTCCCGATGTGGGCAGTTGCATCGGTGGCATGGAGTCGATCTAACCCTGAAGCGGCCTGCAGCGCACGCCATGGATTTGCAGCATTCCAGGAGTAGAGGGGTCACCGCTGATGCCTTTTTGGGTCGTGTTAGATTTCTTGTGAGCTCATAGGGCTAGACTCGAATCCCTCCAAGACTCTAAAGCCCAACGCCATAAAACAGGTGTGGGGTTCCAATGATCGTCTGCAAAAGCAGGCATTTTTCAAATCCTCAAGCAGGGTTCAGGGGTTGGTTTGGCGTTGAGGGTTGAGTTCGCAGGCTTGCACCTTGCACAGTTCGGGACTGTGGGTCTTCCTCGCGGCTCAAGACGAAGCGCCTTCTGAAGTGGTAGTTGCAAGCTGCACGAAAAGAACTGCGCGTGCGCAAGCTTGTCTAGATTCTAGACCTGCTTTCACAGGTCTGTGCATCCGGGGAAGACTCTGGGAAGACTCCTGCAATGCCTCCTCCATCGATGACGCTGGCGCACTCCATCGTTGCCTTGGCCGAGTCTCGCGCAGAGGTGGGGCAGCGAACATGGACGAGCTTGTGTAGATAACGCAGGCAAAGGGACTCCACGACCTTTAGACTTTAGCTGTTCTTCTCTCGGCTTGCAGGGGGTTTGGGCATCAGGGCTGTCTTTCGCCTGGGGAACACACGGGATTGCCTAACTCACAAAAGCACATTCCTTATTTGTGTGTGGGGGGGGGGGGGTGTGTGGAAGCCGCGCGCTCGGCTTGAACAAGAATAGTTTAGTCAGTGTGGTTTTAGAGAGCGAGAGAGAGATAGTAAATGCACAAAAAGTCATCATACACTGACGTGAGTGCTCCTGGACAGATGTCAAGTTTGTGACAATTGCCTCAGTCTCACCCAAACGGAGCTTCGTGAAGATTTGCGATGCGCATAGGAGTCATATTCGTTCTATGTTAAAGGGCGTATACAGCGTCACCTCGCCCACATTGACATAATGGGGCTGAATTACGAAGACCTTCCCAAATCTCGAATCCTTTTGCGACTTGTACCCCAAAGGAGCTACTGCAGTGTAATTAGTCCGTGTGGGGTCAGAGTCTATTTTCTGGATCCGGTGAATCGTGTGGGTTTGAAGCTCAGAGCTCCCAGGGTGTCCCCATGAGAACCGTGCAGGTGATACAACGTGAGATTGCCGAGGAGTACATGGACTACCTCGTCACAGTCACAGCCCACAGGGACCAGTGGAGGAGCACGGTGCGCAGGATGGGCCACCAGCCCATCGCAGTGCGCATGGCAAGAGGCTTCGAGATGAGATTGTTGCGTGATAGTTATGAACACGCAGAGCAGCGCGCCTGATCAGTGCAAGGTGTTGTTTGCTTTCATCGTTGTCCTTAGTTTGTCACTTCCCACATTCCTTGACATGTCTGTGAAGGCGCAAGCAGCTTGTGTGGCCAAGGCTTTTCAACCTGCTGCAGGCTTACGGCTATCGCTTGTGTGGCGACAAGAGGGTCGAAGACATGGTTTTGGCTTTCTTACAGGGCGAAGAATCGACCGCAATCTTCACTTTGCAAATTCCGCGGAAACTTCTGCTGGAGAACCCAAGCGCTGTCTAGCAGACGAGCAGCTTCGATGTGCATCTTGGGAACCATCCGCGGGTGGCTGGGGGCAAAAGATCCTCACCTGAGCCTTTCGGCAGCTTCCGGTGGAATGCTCAATCGACACGGTCGGGTTGCGCACTTCCTCGAGACAGAACCGCGAAGCCACACGCGAGGACATCTGGAAAACAGAGCGCATCCTGAGACCTAGGACCTAGGCATGACTCTGAGCATAGTCTCAGCAGGGCCTCTTTATAGGGGTGCACAAGGGAGGGCCAATACGGCTCGTAGAAACCTCATTGCGGGGTAAATACGAGCCAAGTAAGGACAAAATGTGACAACGAATAGCTACACAAGGACCTTTATTGTGCCTGTCAGTTCGAAAGGTTGCTCGCCCAGCGTAGTGCAACGGCTGCTTCCCTAAACCCTTTACACTCTTTACGCTCTGAACCCCTAAACCCTCAACCTAAAGCTTTAAAGACCCGAACCCCCTTTAAACCACTAAACCCGAAACCTTTGGCTGCTCTCTAAGAGGTGGATGGCGTAAAGCTTTTAAGCCCCGAACCCCCCTTAAACTCCCCTTAAGCCCCTAAACTGCTCTCCTTGACAGGTGGATGGTGAAGCGTGGCCGCTGGAGTGTGCACGAGAGCATCACCACCAGCGCCGACTTCGCTGCGGACCCTGCTCTGTTGGCTTTAAGTTTTAGGGGTTCAGGGGTTTAGGGTTTAGGTGTTTAGTGTTTAGGGTTTAGGGTTGAGGGTTTAGGGTTTAGGGTTTAGGGTTAGGGCCTACGTACCTCCCCTTCGATCCACCCCCTTCAAGAACCCTGCAATTAATGTCGGGTTTCGGGCTTAGGGTTTGCGGGTGGCAACCCCCGATGCCAAAACCGAAATCCCAAACAAAATAAACAAACAAACAAACAAAGCCCAAAGCCCCAACAAGGATATCATGATCCTCAAAGCCCTCATGAGCAACCCTAAACCCTAAACCCCAAGATCCCCTCCCTCCAAGCGTCCCTCAACTCTAAACATTAAACCTTAAAACCACCCCAACCCCTACCCCCTATAACCACTGAACATCCTAAAACCATAAGTCCGAATTGCTGGGCACTACACCCTGAACCCTAACCCCTGAACCCTAAACCCTAAGCCCTAAACCCTCAACCCTAAACCCCTACACCCCTAAACCCCTAAACCTTGAACCCCTAAACCCCTAGACCCTGAACCCTAAACCCTAAACCATAAATCCTGAACCCTAAAAGGACATCTGGATCAGCCACCTCTGTACGCCCGAGCCGCCACCCTGTGAACCTCCAGAAGCTTCCGAGGCCAGGAAGGGGGTTTATAGGGCTTTGTGGTTTGAGGGCTTATTGGGGCTTAGGGTTTAGGATTTAGTACTCAGTGTTTATAAGGCGGGTTTAGAGGGTTTAGGGTTTAAGGTTTACAGGGTGCAGAGGTCAGGATTTCGGGGTTTGGGGGTTGTGGGTTTTAGGGCTGGGCTGGGGGTTTCTAGGGTTTAGGGGTTTGGGGAATTAGAGTTTTGGGTTTTGGGGCTTGAGGGCAGAGTTTACGGTTTTTCGGCTGGGCTGTGTTGAGGTTTCGGGATTTAGGGTTTAGGAGTCCTTTCCCCAGTTCACGCGCACTAAAAGCCCCAACTTTAGGTGTACAAGCGATTACAACAAAACCCCCAATAGAAATACAATTTCTCGTTGTCACATGCCTGAAATAAGTTAACAGTTGTGCATTGTGGCTTCTTCTTAGTTTTCATGCAAATGCACGTACAGTTCATCTGATGTTTAGACAATAAGTGTACTCAATAAAAAAAACGCATGAATCCCAAAGATACTTGGATGGGGCCCTGACCCCAAATAGGGGGTCACACGGATGTCCAGCTTATGCTTCACATCAGGTTGTCAGTCTTCTTTGTGGGTTTCGTTGCTTCCCCGGCTGCGTAAGGGGGCTAGCTTGGCGAACCAATTGCAAGCCCTGGTTTGTGAATTAGAACCCTAGGTGTCCATCTACCTTGTCACTGTATACTTGGGCCCCAAAGTCCTTAGTTATATAGCAGGTGCTGCAAGGCCCACATGGACCCTTAGGGGAATCACTTCCTACGCACGCGACCTCCCCCCCCACCCAATGCCTGAATCGCTACCCCAGGATCCAAGAGCCTTTAGAGTGAATTCTTCGACCCCGAAATGGTTATTCTAGAACCCCCTGTTGGTCTACAGCACACCTACTTGTGCCCGGAAAGCCCAAACCCTAAACCCTGCATGAAGGGTTACGATATTTGGGGTACCTTAGTGAGGTCCTGATGGGTGCCTTGGTATCGTAAACCCCCACATCCTTGTAAAGCCCTGACCATTGGGCACATGAGATCTGACAACTGCAGCATGGAGAGGTCGGCTGGAAATGTCACAGCTACAGATCTGCCACTCGTTTTCTATGGTTGTCATGTATGCCCTAAACCCCAAAACTCTAAACCCGAAATTTAAGAGCCTCCGGCTCAAGCTGCCGACCCCGCAGGAGAACAAATTTAAGGTTTGGGGTTTGGTGGTTTGGGTTTGCGTTGGGGTTTTGGTAGGGGTCAACCTGGAGCTTTTGGGGGGCAGGTCGGGGGGGGGGGGGGGGGGGGGAAAGGGGGGGGGAAGGGGGTTGGGCGGGGGGCTTGTGGGTTCCTCCACGCGGGGGGGCCCCCCTTACCCCCAAGGAGCCTCCACAAACCCATCCAACACGCCGCCAGGGTCGGCGGACCCTAGTGGCATGGTTGTGTGTAGACTCTAAATCCCAAAACCCTCAACCCTAAATGGCCCTAAATGGCCCTCTTCCCACTTTCATTTTGCAGGGTTCGGTTCCTTTTCAAAGCACGGGCTTTTTCGGTTTTCATAGGGTTTAGGGTCTAGGGTCTAGGGTTTAGGTTATTCAAGGCACATTTGCCAATGCTGTTTGCACGCCCGAAAGGCCCTTATGTGCTACGTAGGGCTAGGCGAATCCTGCCTTATAATGGTTTGGTGGAGCTTTCAGAGATGTAGGGATTTCAGGACCCAGGCACCAAGACCCTAAAAACCCGCTAGCTCACCCCAAACCCTGCACTCAAAAAAACCTAAAGCCTAAACCCTAAAATCTTAGAAACCCCCAAGCCCTAAACCCTGAACCTTGCCGAAGAAGTACCAAGTTCTTGGGGCTCAAAACTCAAGCTAGATCTCGGCAGAGTAGATTTTTTGATTTCCAGGGGTCCTTATCCCTATATCACTCCAAGAACCCATAGAATTCTGTTATAGGCATAGAGTACATGAGCCCTCATATACTCCTTGCGGGTTTAAGGTTCTGAAAAAGCACATTCTACTGAGGACTTGCAGCTTTTGGTTCTGTGTGCGTTGGGATGTTGAGGGTTGCAGGGCTCAGGAATCCTAATAACGACTTTCACAACCCTCCAAATCCCTGGATCCCAATTTTCCTCCTCCAAACCCTGAACCGTAAACGTTGAGTCCTCGCCCACTGAAGCGGCACCTTTCCAAGGGCGAAGATCTCGCCTGGTGCGCTTCCGCCGGCACGCAGGGCTGCGCCACTTGGCCAGCGCATGTACCGGAACCACGGGTTTAGGTTTTAAGGTTTAGGGGGGAGTAGGGTAGGCATAAGGGTTGTTGGGTATTTCGGGTTTAGGGTATTTAGGGTTTAGGGTATTTAGGGTTCAAACCCTAAAGCCCTAAACCCTCGAACCCCGAAACCCTCCCTCCCCACAATGAAAAAGTGTCCAGGTGACCTTTGCTCCGAGAAACGACTCCGAGGACGGGGGACCTTGCAAACTGATTGAACCCCAAAACCCTATAAGCTCTATATATAAACCCTATAAACCTAAAAACCCTGGCCATAATGGCGGGCCTTTCCCCACATACTCTGAGAGTATGCCTAGTAGTAGTACAGGGTATTAGGGCGCCTTTACGGTTAGTAGGTGTTGGCTGGAGGAGTCGTACAGAGGGTTTTCTCACGATGACCGCAAGAATAGTAAGGGGTTTGTGGGTCTAAAGTTAGGGTTTGAGAGTCGTGGTCTACAGTGCAAGTACCGTCTCACGAAGAGTTCTTCTCTGAAAGGGTGCTTGCGGGTTCTGTTGAGGTTAAGCTTTTTTGGTGTTTGGACCTATAGGGTTTCGGGTCCACCAGGACCGCCCAAATACGAATTTCGGTACAAAGCATGATCGCCCTAAACCCTAGATTCAAAGGTTTAGGGTTTAAGTGCATAAACGTTAAGGCCTGAATCCACAACCTTATACATAAGATCGTAGGACATGGCTTCCTGCGGCACCTGCGACTGCTGCCGGAAGCAGGCGCGTAAGTACCAGGGGCTCAGGGTATATGGGGTCTAGGGTTTAGGGATGTGGAGCTGAAGGGGTTGAATCTTGCTGGGCAGTTTAGATTCGGAACTATTGGGGGGGGGGGGGGGGGGAATCCCAAGTCCTAACCCCCAAACCCAAAAACCCCTAAACCCTAAACCCCTAAACCCCAACCAACTAACTGCAACCTACAAAAGCCTAGAAGTCTGAAGCCCCAAAAATGCCACGTGCTAGCACCTCCAGGTACCCTGAACCCGATGCCTGTACGCAAGCCTTAGGGATTCCAGGGTTTTAGGGCTTTAGGGCGCTAGCGTTTTAGGCTTTTCGGCTTTAGGGTTTTAGGGTTTCAGGGTTTCAGGGTTTTAGGGTTTTAGGTTTTTAGGGTTTTAGGGTTTTAGGGTTTAGGGGTTTTAGGGTTTTAGGGGTTTAGGGTTTTAGGGTTTTGCAGGGTGGTATGGTGGTCGGGTGGTAGGGTGTTAGGGTTTGGGCTAGGGCTTCAAGGGGTTTAGGGCTTTAGGGCTTTAGGGCTTCAGGGCTTTAGGGCTTTAGGGCTCTAGGGCTTTAGGGCTTTAGGGCTTTAGGGCTTTAGGGCTTTAGGGCTTTAGGGCTTCAGGGCTTTAGGGCTTTAGGGCTTTAGGGTTTTAGGGTTTTAGGGTTTTAGGGTTTCGGGCGGGGGCTTCAAGGGCTCTAG